TCATCGTGGCCCATTTCTCTCTCTCTAAGACAGTTCTTGGATGTTTAGCCTAGGCCATGGTGTCCCAGACCCCATACTCTGTCCAGGGACACCGAGCCTGGATCGGTGCTTCAGAACTCGGGATCTGAGTCCCCACGATCACCGAGGCGGGCGCTATTCCCGCTACAGGCAGCTCCAGAGCAGGATGGTGCGGAATGAAACCTCAGATCCAGGTCTGCCCACCATCTACTACAGCCTGCAGAAATTCCAGAGTGCCAGGAGGACGGGGGGACCATGACCCAGGAGCTGGGGCAGCCAGGCTCAAATGAATACCCTGGGCCCAGGGGCTGTGCAAGCTTGGACTGAGGATGCAGGCTGAGGCCCACAGGGCATCTGTTTGGGGGGTCACAGAGGTATGTGAGTGGCTCCTGGAAGCAGGCTACAGAATGTGAGAGCCTCGGGCAGGATCCCAGCAGAACGCGAACCCCCTGAGCAGCCCTCTGCCCAGGTCCGCAGCTGCAGCCACCATCTGCGTGACCAGAACTGCAAACTGAGGCTGCCTGGAGCCTGTCCACCGGTCTCAGGAAGCGTCCCTGTGGGTGGCCGCACTCTGTCCCATTCTGAGTGTGGCAGGAGGCCGGTTCTCCTTCCCTCCCGTCCTGCTGCCAGCGGGAGGGATCTGGAAAGGTAAACATCAACACGCGCCTGGTTCTCTGATCTTTGCTTTGGGATGGGCCACATTACAGAGGGAAGCCGATGTCACTCTTACCAGTAGCGAGACTTTCGTAGGTCACCGAACCCACCCGTGCCAGTGTCCTTCTACCCTGTGGGGAGCGGAAGGCAATGACCAGGATAGGGACTGTGACTGCCTCAGCCTGCAGCTGAACTCCTCAGTGCTGGTGGACGTGCACCCACCTGCTCCCCATTCAGCGGCAGCAAGGAGGGGACAGAGGTGGTTTGTGTGCTGCGGCTCTGCAGGGATCAGCCAGGCTGGTGGGGCCTGCAGTGCAGTGGGAGGAGGGGCTGTCCCCACAGCGCCTTCATTATGGTCCACGTTACTTCGTGCTCAGGTACATTTACAACCTGCTCACTGGGGCCAGACAGCACAGGCATTCCTTCCAACCGGGGGGAAAAAGCACAAACAATGTAAAAATTCACCTCCTTTCCCAGAGAGGGGGATGTGTACAACTTCTCATTTGCTTTCTGAATAGTGCCTGTATCGTCTCTGGAACAAGATACCAGGGCTCAGTCATAAGCCTAACAAAATATTCCTCGTGGAGTTCTAACTGGAGGGGGAGGGTGGCTGGAGATGGCATAAAACACCGTTGCCACTGAGTGCCGGAGTTCTATAGGTCTTAGGAGATCCCCCAAGGGGCGTGTGATTCCCTCACACATAAAAGTTAAGAATCAGCCATATGCAACCCTTTCTTTTGGAGATAGGCACATCCGAGGTCTGAACCATCAATTCCCACTTGAGGGACCATGCCTCAGGCATGGGCCCAGAGCCGCAGCAGGCTCAGGAATCCGCCAGCAGCCCAGCTACAGCTCAGCCAGGTACTCTAGGTGTCCAGACTCCTGGCTGAGCTTGCTGACAGCCCAACCACGTGGACTGAATGTGTACGCCTGTGTGTGCAAAGGAAATGCACCTGAATTTAAATGCCAATGTTCACTTTACCCGTTAGGTCTTAAGTATGTGATTCGTTGAAGAGACCTTGGAAATTGCCAAGCTCCCTGACAAATAAAACACCCCTCTCCCTCTGAAGTCAGTGGAAAAACTTCCTAGGGACTTCGGAGCCCATTTGGAAAGGATAGAGCTCTCCTTGCAGGTGAGCCAAACACACACGTACTTCTCTTTTTAAAAGAAACTTGACCTTTCTGGGGAAAGAAATAATGTACTTACATGGCAACTAGCCAATAGTCCTCATACTGTGAACCTAATTCTTGTCCAAGAGAAGAACTCTGGTTTCACGAACTACAGGGAGAGAACGCTACAGAAATGATTTGGCTTCAGAACACCCTAGATGCTGTCCACATTTGTTCCCTGATAATGTATTACTCACACCATTATCACGCTATCATCATCTACCTATTTTTTCCAAGGTTTAGAAACCCTTTGCATGTCCCTAGTGGAGAAGAGACCTTAAATATCAGCCCCCAATCATATTTTGGGCAGAGAAACTCAGAGGCTCGCATCACATCCCCATTATGAAGCGATTGAGTCCAGGAAGAGCTGGGATCCAGGTTCTTAGCCCAGCACTCCTGGCGTGGGAGGACCGTAGACTTACAGTGCAGCCCCGACCGTCCTGATGGCTGAGCTCCCAGTGCCGCTGGTGTAGCCAAGGTTGCTAACCCTGGGACCTCAAGAGCTAGTGAGCATACAGTGCTCTGGAGATCTGAGGCCCTGAGAAGCGATGCTTCCTTCTTGTTGACGGGCTGGTCATGTGTAGTATTTTAGAGAAAACGGATTTCTAAAACGAGGAAGGAAGAATTGAAGGAGCCAGTCCGCTTGGCTGGTAGTAACTGCAACTCTGGACAGCCAGGATGGAATCTGTATCTCTGGCTGCACGGTGTAGCTCTGGTCCTTGAATTCTTTCTCAGATGGGCGCACTAGCAATCTAACCGCGTAGTGTGGGCTCCTAAGTTCAACCAGATTAGATGCACTGCCACGCGATGCCGTGTAAGGCTGTGGGCAAGCTCCCCCACGGCTCCCCTTGCCAGTTCTGAGGTCAGACTTCCCTGCATCTGAATTTTGGTCATTCCATTTGTTAGATATGGAATTGACAAACATTTTTAAACATCTCTGTGCCTCAACAGTCACAACTATAAAATGGGCATAACAACATGGATGTTGTAGGGCTGGGATGATTATAGGGGATAATCCATGTTAAAACCTCATAAAGTGTACCTGGGACCTGATAGGACTTTAATAGGTCATGGTTTCTATTACATTCATGTAAATGCCCCACATGCTACCTTACTGGAGGGCAGGAGATTGAGACTAAGTATTCTGTGGGAACTTGTCCTTCCTAAATGGGGGTGAGGAGGAGAACAACCCCCACCCACGTATCAGCGATAGGATGAAAGTTTGCAGTCACACTCTCCTCCTTCCCAGGCATGTATAACATTTATTTAAATTATTCCAATGTAGCTCAAAATTTGAGTTTAAATCCCCACATTTGCCCGGTGGGTACTTTCTGGAAGTTAATGTTCTGAAAGATATATTTAACAATGACAAATAGAGCCTAAATCTAAAATTATAACAAATGATCTTTTGGGGGGAGGGGTTTGTTGCTGTGCTGGGGGTGTAATTCTAGTCCGAAATTCTAGCTCCTGCTGTTGCTTCACCCTCTGGGGCCTCAGGCAGGCGCAGATAACAGTCGTGATTAGGCCTCGCTCATCCCCTGCCTGCCTCTGCTCTTCTTCCTTCCCTCTCTTCCGGGCCCATTTGTGACATCTGCCTGCCACAAGCAGGTGAGAGGCTGAGGCTGTTAGTAGCATCCTTAGACTCATCAGAAATGTGCATCAGAATCTGCTGGAATGCAGATTCCTGGGCCCAACCTGAGAGTTTCTTTTTTTTTGTCTTTTTGAGACAGGGTCTCGCTATGTAGTTCAGGCTGCCCTTGAGCTCACTTTGTAGCCAGGCTGGTCTCAAACTTGCTATGATCCTCCTGCCTCAGCCTCCCGAGTGCTGAGATTACAGGCATGTGCCACCACACCCGGCAAAGTAGAATTTCTAAATAAGTTAATTTAAATTTTTTTTTTTTTGGTACTGGGAATTGAACTCATGACCTCAGGCTTGCCAGGCAAGCGCTTATGCCACTGAGCTATATCTCCGGCCCAACCGACCTGACAGTTTCTGCATCAGCAGAGATTCTGCATTTCTAACAAACTCAGGGATGTTGATGCTGCTGAAAACCCCCCTCACTCGGGGACTTGCTGATTTAGAGCAGCGCCTGTCAGCATTAGGCGAACACTCGCACCATCTGAGGAGTGAAGAGAATCATTTCCTAGGCTGCAGGTCCTGGGAATTAAATTAGCCTTAAGCTGGGATCTCAGATGCCAACACCCAGAGAGACAGTCTCGGCTTCCCCTCCGGCTGATCATCCCAGCCAGCTAGATGGGTGCGGGGTCCGCAAGCCTGTTTTGTAAAAGACTGGTTGGTACACACTTTAGGGTTTATGGGCCACACACATCTCCACTGCATATTCTTTGTTTCTTCGCATTTGCTTCAATCCTTCAAATACATAAAAATCACTCTCAGCCTTCAGGTCATAAGAAAAATTTGCAGACTGCAGGAGCAGAACTCACATCAGCCAATCACGCCGATACCCAATTTAATGTAAAAATAGCAACTTAAAACCAGCAGTTTTTACACAACAAATTAAAACCAAGGTAGAGCGTGGAACAAGTTAATAACAAAACCAGAAGGGCAATGTCAGGGTGGCTTCTCCCAGCTGAACTTTTTCTGACACAGTTCTTTCTACCTTAGAGAGAAGGGTCTCCTTCCCTCCCCGCTATACCAGTACCCTAAAGTGTGTACCAACCAGCTCCCTAGTTCTTGCCTAGAAAAGTCAGGTTTCCTGCCAAGTTCAAAGTCCTTCGCAGTGCTGTTGGAAAGTGTTAATCATCATCTTAGTATTTCTCCCCAGTACTTCTGGTCCTAACTTCTGTGCTCATCCTCTCTCCCCGTACAAGGCCGAGTCTTTCTGCTGGAAGGCCCAGCTGTTCTGAGCCCTTGTGTGTTCACGGAGCTCAAGTGTGGAGCCACACGGCACTGTCGCATGTCCTCTTCCTTGTGCCTGTCTTCTGTCCAGCTGAAAGAGCGTTTCCTTGGCAACTAAACCGTTTCCTCCCTCATCCCAGCAAATCTGCTCAGCTTTGCTATAGAAATAAGGCCTGGAACAGCAAGCAAGTATCCTTGAACAGGAGTACCCTTGAACTCCATGGAGAACTTTGCTTTGCGTTTTTTTTTTTTTTTTTTTTTTTTTTTTTGGCATTGGGGGTCGGGGGTGGGGCTGGGGATTGAACTCAGGGCTTTTGCACTAAGCTACATCCCCAGCTCTTAAAAAAACATGTTTTTTGGAGACAAGTTCTCCCTATGTCCCTAGGTTGCCCAGAATAGGGTAACCTTGTGTCCCCCTGCTTCAGCCTCCTAGAAAGCTAGGATTGCCGGCATGTGGCAACAGGCCTGGCAGAGTTTTGCTTTTCAACCTGTTCCAAACCTCAGACAAAGTGGACAATCCTTAACTCCATTCCTATTCTTTTCTTTTTTTTTTTTTTTCCTTCTTCTGAGTCTTTTAAACAAACTGGAATCTGCTAGTAAAGGACCTAAGGCAACCTCTTAACAATGTAAAGGAGGAAATCGAAGGAGTGGAGGCCTGAATCCAGAAATGGAAACTTCTGCCACTTTCCAAAGAAACAAATGACTGACTCCAATCCTAGGGCACTTGAATGAAGAGGATTTGTTCTGCCCTCACTGGGCTGCCATCCAAAAATGTGGCCCCAACGCAAGGCCAGGGTTGAGGTCAGGCGGCCTCACGTGCACGCGACCGGCGAGGGCTCACAGGGCCTCTCTCTCAGAAGGGCCCTGTGCTTGGCTTAATCCTCTGTGGTTGGCATCTTGAGATCCTTCAGCATTTCGTCTTTGAACTTGTGTTTGTAAGTCAAGTCCCAGGACTGGGGACACGAGCGTGAGCAGAGGAGATGTGCGCCGTGCTGGTGCAGCTCGGGGTTCGGAGCGTCCAGGCAAGCACTGGGTCACGTGCCACAGAGTCAGCGGGTCCTGGGAGGCCGCGCGCAAAAGCGAGTTTGCATCCTGAGAAACAGGTTAGGCAGCCTGGCCTTTCTTACTTGCGTTTTTCTGTCACTGGGCCACAAGTGAAACAGGAAATGCAGATGACAGAGGAGGAAAGGGAGAGGGACATGGACAGTTCCAAGCTCCTTTCCTTCTTGCTAGCTAAAGGCAGAGAGCTGGTGGGCGTTTCTGCAGCAGGGAGTGACCTAAAAACAGCGGGCTCAGAGTCGAGCACATTTCCACTGCCCTGCTGAGATCAGCACACGGCACGCACAGCCTGTGGAAGAGGAACCTTGCGGTGGTGGTGAGTGTATGTGCGAGTTCAATGCTTGATTCTTTTCCTTTTAAGCTAGCACCACACAACATAAAGATGAACGGTAAAAGTCACGCTAGTAATTTGAAATCTTAGTTTTTCTTTACTTAGAACATCGTTGACCATTAACAAATAAAAGCAGCTCGACCAGTTCTGAGAGAGCGCAGAGGGCTTCACATTTCAGTGCTTGGGTTGGGAGCTCCTCCTGCGTTATGAAGGGGGGTCCCACATTTCCCTGTGAGCCATTTGGTCAGCTCTAGAGGAGGAACTTTTCCTCAGACAGTCTCGGTGAGGACGCTAAGGGCCATTCATGAGCACTTACTGAATTCCTCCTCTACCCAGCTCTGTGCTGGTTGCTAGAGATAAAAAGTAAGCAAAGATAACACTACCTTAAGCAGTGGCAAGGACCAGAATTCTAAAACCAGGGAACAGACAGTGACCCCCAAGTGTCCAAAGTCAGTGCTTGTCTACAAAGGGAAGCTTGAGAGAGAAATTTCTACAGTATTTCAAGAATCCTTCTACTCTGACCATTACCCGCCCGACTTCCTCCTGGTCCAGTTACCATGCACGCTACAGGAATACAAAATGATGTAATCTTTTTGTTTTTGTAATCTGTTTTAGACCTCCAACAAGCCGGACACCACCAGCCCACTTCTGATCATTGCTGAGCCCTTTAAACATACGAGGTTCTATTAGTAAATGACCTGCACTGATGTTTTAAAAATGCAATTGATATAAAGCAGAAAGTTAGATAGTGGGTAGTAAAATCACACCATCAGTTACACAGTCTTTGATTCATTTCTTAAGGTAAAGAAACAAATATTTCATGTGTGTTGAAATTTGGCTGACAAAAATCTTTAAAGCCATGAAGTCCGTGTTGGAAGGAAAAAATGAAGGAAGGAAGGAAGGAAGGCAGGGAGGGAGGAAAGAAGAAAGGAAAAAAGGATCACTAAGTTGGGATGAGGCTGAGAGTCACTGTGAGGTGACCCCACACCCATCAAAGCAGGAATCCTGATCACTGGCTCAAAAATAGATCAGGAAACCACCAGCGTGGTTTTCTTTCGCATTTCCTGACCCTCTGTCATACCCGTAACTCTTGGGATTTACAACAATCTCTAATCCTTGAAGAATGGCCATGTGCTCTCTCAGGGGGCAGTGGGAAAGGCAGGGTGAGGCTGGTGGGCACAGCTGCGCCCTCCCCCTACACCAGGGCTCCAGGAAAGGCACCCCAGGGAGACACAGGGTGTTGGGCTGGCTTCAGGCACAGCCAGAAGGAGACCACAGGCTTCCGACAGCCCACCGGGAGAGGTGTGCTAGATGCCGGGAGAGGGGTGTCAGATGCACGGAGAGGGGTGTGGGATGCAGCGGAAACAGCAGTCACACTTCACACCCCCGTCATCAGGACTCCTTCATACCATGATCACCACATGTCTGGGGGACACTTGGGGGTTCCTGCCTCGCTGTGAAGCTGAGCCCTGAGGGGGAACCCAGGCATGCACACACCCCACGAGGAGTTACGAGGTCACTCCCTTGACTTACAGATGGGGAAGCTGAAGCGTTAGCAAGGTCCCCTAACTCTCAACATCCACGGAGAGGAAGGGGCAGAGCCAGGACGCAGCGCTGGGCTGGACTGGCTGCCCACGCAGGCTGCCTCCCCCGAGTTCCGGCTGAGGCTTCGCTGCGTGCCACACAGCCTGAGTGCAGCTGGTTTTTCTTCTTTTCCTGGCTTGAGCTTAATCTCAGCCGCCAGAGTTCAGCGGCAGCACTGGGTCTTTGGGTCTCTCTCAGGAAGCTGGAGTTCAGGGTTCATCACAGGCACCGGGTGGACACGTGCCCGTTGTGAATGGGCCGCCAGCCTCTCCCCACCGCTATCTGCACTGTACTGTGACGTCCTCAGGGAGAAGTCTGCTGCCCTTGGGAACCCACGGGAGTCAGCCAAAGGACAGTCACGTTCAGAAGCAAGCTTGGCGGTCTTTAGGAGTCAACACGAGGGTCCGTTTTTCACTCCTGCTTCTTCTCTCCACTGTGCATGGTTTCCCGCCTCAGCATCCCACCTAGAGCAACCACACGAAGTGAGGCCACCTCCTCCTCCGTTGTGGATGCCTTAGTTACGTTTCTCGTCCCTGAGACACATCCCCACCATGAGCAGCTTGAAGGAAGGGAGTCCGTTTGGGTTCACAGTTACAGTCCCCGGTCAGCATGGCAGAGGGGCAAGGCGGAGCAAGGTTGCTTACATCAGGCTGGCCAGGAAACAGAGGGAGATGGGAGGAGCCTGGGAGAGAGATAAACCCTTCCGGGTCATGCTCCCAAGGACCCACCTCTTACAGGAAGTCAGCTATACTGCCCCCTGCCCTGGTTCAGTCACCTTCCAAAAGCCTGTCCTCTGGGCCCATGAGGCTTTGGGGACATTCTTGATCTAAGCCAGAACAGTGGGGATGGCCTTTAGTGCTCCCTTCTGGAGTTTAGGAAAAGCAGTGGTAAACATGTAGTCTGCCAAAAAACCGGGCACAGGCCGGACACAGCAGTCGCCTGCTGCCATTTGCAAATGGATTGATAGGAAGAGACAGAACGCGAGTGTTTTACCGGGAGGTCAGCCTGGGAACCCTGGGAAGCTGCTGTAAGTATAGGTCGGGGCGGTGCCACCATGAGCCTGGATTCTGGGCTTACTCACTGCTCAGGGAAGAGTTTGCCCTTATGCCAACTAGTCAAGAAAAATTACGCTGGTGGGCACCTACTGGGGACAGGTGCAACCAAACAGTCTTCCTGGCAACACAGCCAAGGGAGGACAGTGCAGACACAGACACTGCGGCTTATCTGTCGGGTGTCCAGTGCGTCCTCGGTCCAGTGCCGGCCTCACATGGCCTAGAGTTCCCCAGGCCCCTTGCTGCTGCATTGGGTGCAGTCATTTTCACATCAACTTTGAGCCAAAGTGCACGGAATGGAACTAGGTGCATTAAACAGCCACAGGGTGAATTCCAGGGCTGAGCAGAAATGACTTCGGAATCTCACTCTGAACCAAAGTGCATAACAGACTAGACAGACCAGGCGGCTATGTCAAAATACCAGAAACCAGAAGGGACACAGGGACACTGCGTCCCTCAAGACCTTCAGGCATGTGCAAACCTAAAAGTACAGGACTCCAGCCTGAGGCCATCCTTGCTTGTACTGTGGTTTAAACTCCCCTCCCCTCCACTGTGGGCTTTGGACAGCATGACACTTCCTCTAAAAATTTGTTTGGTCAAACACCCCCCTCCCAGCGGGTGGGTGGGCCGGGTCAGGAACCCAGCTGGGCCACGACTCCTGTCAGGCCCCAGCTAAGGATCCTCATAACCCCAGGACCTTGAGAGACTCAGTCCCAGCACCTGTGGAGGGAGTGAGCTCATCTCACTGGCCGACTCCCACCCTTTGAGGGAACTCTCACTTCTTTCACTCATTCTTGTGACTCCTTCTAAATAAATCTTATTTTTGCTAATTTTTCTGACTGTCCTGTACAAGTTTTTGTTCAGAACATCAAGAGCCTGGAATCAACGTCCCTGGGATCCCCTTCCAATAACAAACCCCGGGCAGGTTCTCCCGAGGGCCAAGGAGGTATAACTTCCAGATGCAATTCCATCATTTCAGCATGGAGTTGAGACCATGCAGGTCCTCCAATATAATGGTTTTCTATTTTTATTTTGGTACAACCCTTTCCTCAGAGGAAATCCTACCTGGAAGCTGATGGGTGTTTTAGATGAACTCTGAGCTCTTGGTGCCCTGCTTGTGGGGCTTCAAGCTCCTAGGAGCACAATTAGAAAAACATGCAGGCATCCTCCTCTTACTGAGTTACTCAGTCACAGGACTGTATTTCTTGAGCACTTACTATGTTCCAAGTGCTGGGAACTACCAGTGAAGTGGCTGCTCTAGGTGGGGAGTCAGAAAGGCCCTGAGGAATGGTCCACAAGTGAGATCAGAATGATAACCTGGAGATGCCCTTAGCTTAACTAATGGGGAAGCAGACTTCCCCAGGACACAGCAGGCAAACAGCACAGCCAGTAGCCGACCCTAGCTAGGCTTTTAGAATCTCTCAGCCAGAGAGGCTGGGGATTTAGCTCAGTGGCAAAAGTGCCTGCCTGGCAAGTGCAAGGTCGTGAGTTCGATTCCTGGTAGTGGAAGAAAAACAAACAAACAAACAAAAATAGAATCTCTTGGCCAGCCTCTTTCCTGCCACAAACATTTACTAAGCAACTACTGCATGCAGCGAAGCCTTACTCACAACCAAAAGTGAAAAGTTGCCAGCCGTGCTCTGGCCTTGCTGCCATCTGCACGTCAGTCTCGACACCCTTTTGTCCACCTCAGCCTGGTCCAGGGCCAGCCCTGGCTCCAAAGGCTCTGAACCTCAAAAGACAGAACTCTGTCGTGCATACCCCAGACCTGTGGCTTTGGCTGGGCAAGCTTCTCCACCTCCTATCTTTCGGGCTGCAAACTATCAGGAGGGCGGCTTACTCTTCCTTTGCTGGCCCAACTGTAAAAGCAAGGTGGTGGCTATCCAGCCTCTGGTTCATCTGGAAAATCAAGGTGTTCTGGGCGATTTAAAGAACATCACACACAGATTTCCTCTTGTGCTGCAGAAGACATCTGCACAAAACTTTGGGAGACCGCCCAGGCCTGTGCATAGTTTCCACACCACCAGTCCAAAAACAGGCTCCGCGCAGACACTCCTGCTACGCCGAGTGTCACAGGGCGCAGTGTGCAAATGGCTCCCTCTACCACCCACCGGCAAGACAGCTCCAGGCCACCAGCCCCCCTCAGACCCTAGTGTGCACCTGTGTGCCCAGCGGCACCTCGCAAGCCCAGGAGCCTTCACTTACCAATTCGTGTCTCAGCCACCCCAGAGATAGGCAGGACTGCAGTTTTGGTGCCAACATGCACACAAAAGCAACTGAGACCCAGGAACAGTACTGGGACCCGATAACGACCGCTAAGTTCTGATCCGAACTCTGGTCTCCAAATGCCAACAACTGCTTTTTGTGACAGTCCACACGCACACAAATCAGCTGCAGGTTTTCCACCCGCCCAAACGGTACCCCCATCCTCTCTCCCCGCCACCGCCACCCTGCACCCCGAGTGCATTTAGGAGTTCCACAGCATCTGCTCCTCTTCCCACGCCCCATATGTGGAGTTGCTGGAGACGCCAGACTCGCTCTCTTGCACACTCGGCAGTCTAGACCCAAGTCCAGATGCTCTCCTGCCTGGCTCTCCGCTTCCTGCTTTCCAGCCAGTTTACACGCGCGAGCGCCTGCCACAGCTGGGGGAACCACCCACCCAGAACCTTCCACGCACTCCCTCCCTCGCTGTGTGTGCAGGGACGGGGCCCGCGGAGCTTGTTCCCGCCGGTGCACAGCCCCGAGCAGGGGCCGGCATTTCGCACTGTTTTGCAAGGGGCACTGAGCCCAGAGCCTGCTCCGGGCCGGTGCCTGGGCCAGCGCACGCGAGGCAGCTCCTGGGCCTCGGGGTGGACAAAGCGAGGGACGTCTTGAGCAAGGACAGTCACACACCACGCTGGACAGCACAAAGACGCCTGCTCTGTCCCCCACACCAGTGCGGGCCGCAGGCCGGCGGGCGCAGCCACGGAGCCACGGCCAGGCGCAGCGCACGTCCTCGGGCGCACTAACCGCCGG